GATATTTGTCTTTGGTGATCTGGTCACCCTATTCCCCTACCAGCCACTGGGACGTGGTACAAGGCCCGGAGGTGGAACAGAAGACCGTCTGAGGTGGCATCCAGACGGCTTGTCCGGTGGAAGTTTGATAGCCCGGACAGGGGACTGTACAGTGGCCTGGCCAAGAGGGCCGAGTCACGAAGAGCGAGCACTTTGAATTGCAAAAAGAGAGCGGGACTGACAACAGGGGCGCCACAACGGGCAAAAGCTAATTCCCAGCCCAACCCACAAGAGGGCGCACCTGCGGTGAGCGGAGCCCTTCACACCAAGTGAATCGGTGGCAGAGCTGGGATTAGAATGCAGGAGGTCCTGGAGCAGCAGGCCCCAGCTCAGAGCACAAGACCGTGTTTCTTTCTTTGAGAGAGGAGGACCAGGGAAAGGATGACAGCTGAAGGGGTTGAGGGATGGAGAAGTATCAATGGATGATGGGCGAACTGCAGAGTGTGGGGTTCAGGCATGTGCTAAAACGCAGAGCTGGGAGAATAGTGCGAACACTTTTCTGGGAGTCGCCGTTTGAATTTTGCAATGAATGTGTTTCAGTCGCGTTCACACCCTGTCAACATCCCAGCACTGGGCGACTCAGCTGTATTAGTGGCAGCTTTACAAACATTAATGAGTTAAGCCCCCACACTTAATGGTGATGTCAGCAGTGTTAAGGGAGAATAACTCCCCAAAGGTATGGACTATGGGGCAGTCCAATGTGCTATCTGTGGATATGCAGCCTTGGGAGGACACTAGGGAGGTTTTGCCTTACAGCATGAGTCTGGTGATGGGTCTATATTGATGTCAATATCCGTTGGTGAGGGAAGTGAAACCCTCCTGGAGCACTGCCGTGTATTCTTGATAGTGTAGTAGGCAAGATGACGCTGGAAAGGAATGCACAACTTCTTATTTCCATGCTTTTCGGGTTTTGGATCGATGGGACGTGTCTTGATGAAGCTTTAGCTGGCACCAAACATAGTCTTTGTTTGCTAATTAACTATGAACGTTAGTAGCACAAAGTGCACATTTAAATCTTGCGGCCTCCTTGTTAGCTTCTTTGGAGACTGTAAACCATTTGCGGCAGGGACTCTACTGTGAGTTTGCACAGCACCCAACACAAAGAGGCCCCCGATCTTGACTGCAATACAAATAATAAATTAATCATCATCATCATCCCTTCCAGTTTGAGACACTCTTCCACTTTCCTGGGCTTGAAGGGTTCCAAAGCAAACTGGATTGGGATTAACAGATTTTTAAAACCAGAAGAGACCATTGGCTCATCCATTCCGAGGTCCTGCATAACACGGAGAGTTTCGCACAGGTGAAGCAGGAGCTAGCAAGAAAGTTAGGAAGCAATTAGTGGAAGAATTAAGCACACCCCAATGATCTCCCCTGTCCTGTCTTATCTCACCAGCCTCCTTATATTTTATTAAGGCATCCTTTGGAGAAGGCATTCCACATTCCTTTAGGTTGGGAAGTATTTTCAGGTACCTTCAAGAAAGAGATTAAGAATTGATTTGTCACTGGAGCAGGGCGCTTTTGAAAGTAGATTCTTCAGACACAAATCAGCCTTAATCATTTAATACTCTTTGGCTCAACGGTAGAATTGCCATGTAGGTTTTCTAAACCTCCTTTACTAACAAGCCGTTTCACCCAGGAGAAAAGTTAACAGGAAACTTGACAGAGATTCAATACTTTCTGGACAAAGGCAATGGGGCACTTTTCAGATCTCTTCTTGGTGTTGGTTTAATATTACTTGATATAACCAATCTCATGATTTTTAAGACTCTAACATGTTTTGGGATGAACTGTGCAAACTGTAATCAGATATATTTTTCACTTCCTGTCCTAAACTGTTACAAAGCAGTACAGCGCAACATTAATCAGCTGCCACATTCCACCTCAGCGGTGGCTGCATTTTTGTGGTGGGTGAAGGATTCCTTCTGAATTCTTATGAAAGCAAGGTTTCATAGTAGTGACTTCAGCCAGCCATGGTGCTAGCAGAAAATGGTTGAAGGTTCTTCATATAGCTCCGCCAATTCATCTCATATCTAACTTAGTATACTGGGCTTGGTTCTTGGTAAAGACAGACATCTACTAGGGACAAACTTGGGTCTACAAACGCCATGCCTTCCATCTGTGAACCAAGGCAGGAGTTGAACCTAGGTCTTCTGAGATAAGAGGCCATTGCGGACACCAAAGTTCAGGATCCTTGTCCAGAACTTGCTTCAGATTAGCTGCACCACTGTCTAGGCATGATACAGCTCTCTCTTCTACTTGGTTAGAAAACAGCAGAGGTCCCAGATGTCTGAAAACATAATTTTTTTCATTTATGTCTCTAATTTGTCCACCCATTGACATTATTTTAGACACGTGTCCAACTGCCAACTGGCATTCATAAAGCCCTTCCAACTTCTTATATCCCACCTCCCCCAGACAGTCAATATTTTGTATGTCCCTTACTCTTTCTCCTTTGAGTCCCAGGAGGCCACGATCACCCTGAAACAAAAAAGACAATGGAAGGCTTTTTCTCTACCGTTGGCACATCACTCAATACACCCATCTGTTTACAAACTGCTCTTATCTATAACTATAGCAACCTATGCTCAGAGAATGCAATTCAGCTGAGCACCTGGAATCGCTTTGCAATGACTAACTCATCACACAAAGTCGCATGTAACGTAAGTGTCGCCATCCCAATTTTATAGCTGGGGAAACCGAGGCCCAGAGGATTTAGGTGACTTGCAGAACAGCAGGAACCAAACCCACAAGCACTGATCCCCAGTCCCTTGGCCAAGCCCCTAGACAAAGCCTTTGCTATACAACGCTCTCCTATGTGTTTGGGATTTTCCTAGCATTCCAAATGTAATACAGTGGGTGTCCTTCTCACCAGATGTCTGCAAACAGGCATTGATAATCCCACAAAAGGCAGAGTCCTGGGATTCCTCGTGGTCTGGCAGGAAGAATAATCCGCACTATACTTTCCCCCTAAATACCACCTTACGTTCTCAAAGAACTGTACAAACATCAACCGGTTTCCCCATTGTCTACAGCGCCATGAGGCAGCTCAGTGTTATTTTCCCCAGCTCACATATAGGGATCGCCCCCCCTCTACACGACACAATGACCGGATTTAAGGTGGCTGCGAACGTGGTTTTGTTTTTGTTTGATTAGGGAACGGTATTTTAGCCTGGGTAGCTCCCACGGCTCTCGCCCAAGAATCTGGCCCTGGAAACCAGAGCAAAGGGAGAGTGAATAATGTATGGGTGGAGACTGGCTCAAATATGCTTAGGAGCGTATGTCCTCAGCAATGGGGTCCATCACTCAGGGTGCTGGGGAACATGGAGTCCACTGGAGGTCTGCCTGGATGAGGTGACCATCCAGGCGCCGCAGAAAGTCAAGCTAAGACGCCCGCTGCTTACTCTTTCTCCTTTCGCTCCGGGCAGGCCTTTCAGACCCTGCAAACACATGAAACAGCATGTCAGAATGAACACCTGGTGGGGGCAACGTGGCAGGCAGCAGCAACCTCCTCAGGCGAGGGCAGAGCTCTGGGGACAGGACGAGAGTGGCACAGAGGGTTTGAGCCGCCTCTCACTCCCGCTGGGGTGACTTGGTAGAACGGCTCTGCTGGCAAAGGCGGCAGAAGAGGAGACTCAGGCCCCGATTGTGGCAAGCGACTGGATCCCCAAAAGGACTCGGGCCCGTCTCCTCATATGCATGGGGCAAAGCGAGCTATCTGTCTGAGATACTGATACAGCCCCTAGTATCTGAGCGCCTCACGCTCTGTAATGTATTGATCCTCACAGCACCCCAGTGAGACGGGGACGTGCTGTTACCGCATGGCATAGGGCAGGGGGAGTTAGGCATCTACATGCCTTTGGGGATCTGGAACCTAAGCGCCTGGCCCCATGTCACACAGAGCTTGCAGCAAAGCAAGGAATTGGACGTTGGAATCCCAGATGAGCACCTAACTACTGAGCATCCCAACCCCAGCTGCGCTGTGGAACAGGTGAATAAAGACTTGCACTTTTCTGACTTCCCCCACATTTAGCTCTTTTCCTTCCTGATTCTCAAAGTGGTGCAGAAGAAGAACTGTAGCTTCTCCATTTATAACCATCCATCTACTCCTGATGGACGTATTCAATCCTTCCTGGGAACACTGCAGAAGAAGCAGTGTGAGACCCACTCTAGAGTCACCAGTGGCTCCATTCCATCCTACCCTCTGGCTCTACACAACCAGGAGGCAGGTTTCCATGGCTTTCGGCATGCTAGGCTTTGAACTACATCCCCACAAGATCGTCTGCACTAACATAGCATCCAAAGATCTCAAAGCGCTTTCCAAAGCTGGGGAAGGATCATTATCCCCATTTTACAGATGGGTGGGGAAAGGGGGTCCAAACATTTTAAACGAATTCCACGAGGGTACATCGAGGTTATCTACAATGGCATGAAGCCACCCTGCAACCAGTAGCAGCAAATATCTCCAATGGCCGGAGATGGGACACGAAATGGGGACGGCTCTGAGCTACTGCAGAGAATTCCTTCCCATGTGTCTGGTTGGTGAGTCTTGCCCACATGCTCAGGGTCTAACTGATCGCCAGATTTGCGGTCAGGAAGGAATTTTCCTCCAGGTCAGATTGGCAGGGACCCGGGGGCAGGTCGCCTTCCTCTGCAACATGATGCACTTGCAGGTTTAAACTAATGTAAATGGTGGATTCTCTGTAACATAAAGTCTTTAAACCATGATTTGAGGACTTCAGTAACTCAGCCAGAGGGGAGGGATCTGCTACAGGAGTGGGTGAGCGAGGTTCTGTGGCCTGCCACGGGCAGGAGGTCAGACTCAGTGATCAGGATGGTCCCTTCTGGCCTTAAAGTCTATCAGGGCACACAGAGTGGAAGAGCAGAGAATGGAACTCAAGTCTCCAGACTCCACCCTGCTGCTTTAACCACTAGATTATTCTGCCTTAATAATGTAAGAGGTGCCCTCACTGTGCGCTGCATTTAAGGATGAGATTTACCATCAGGCCTTGCGATGCAATAATCTCTGGATGAGCAGCAAAGAGTCCTGTGGCACCTTATAGACCAACCGATGTATTGGAGCATGAGCTTTCGTGGGTGAATACCCACTTCGTCGGATGCATAATCTCTGGGTTTCCACAACTGTCACTATTTCCCGTGACATTCCATCTACTTCTCCTTTATTCCCATCCGTGGGTACTTCCTGAAATCATGTGTTGCTATTGCTGTACCTAGTCAGGGATTTTTGGCCCATAACTCACCCCTCTGGGAACACAGGGCAAGAGTTCGTACGGACTCGGAGCTCCATGAGATCATGCAGAGAAAGGGATGCAGGGGGAACGGAGCTGCATGCTGAATCAAAAAGCCCTTTGTGGAAGGGTCATGCTGAATGGGCAAGGAATGCAAGTCAGTTACACTCAGCGTTGTGGCCCATGTTTTCAAATCCACCTATAGGATCTGCACACCCAACTAATTAAAATCAGTGGGAAGTGGGCAGCCGTCCCTATGTGGCTTTGAAAACCTCATCCTATAGCAGCGTCCACATCTAGGGCATCTCACCAGCCAGCCTTGGGCCTGGTGCCACAAAACCATCCTCATAGGCTTCAGAGGCTGAATCACTTGATAATTGCCCTGTTCTGTTCACTCCCTCTGAAGCATCTGGCATCGGCTACTGAGATACTGGGCTAGAGGGACCACTGGTCTGGCCCTCTAAGGCCGTTCTTTTGTTCTGATTATCTTACCATCATGCCAATGGGGCCTTGGACTCCTGCAATGCCCTCCTCCCCCTGTTAGCAAAGAAAGATTTAGTTTCATTACTGTGTCTACAAACAACGAAGCATGGATAATACACACAAGCCCCATCCTGCGAGCCCTCCGTGCATGGCACTCCCACTGAAGTCAATGGATGACCTGTGCATAGCGGCCCAGATCCTCAAAGGTATTTAGGAGCCGAACTCCCATTGAAACCACCGGGAATTCAGCGCCTAAATACCTTTGAGGACTTGGACCAAAGAGCCTGCAGGGTTGGACCCTCTGCCATCGGTCTATTATTTAGTGCCCAGTACCCCTGCTGTAAGTGGAGAACGGTGACCTGGACACTTCAAAGTCACAGTGTATTCATTGCAAAGCTGCGTTTCCAGCTGTCCTGTGTGTGCGGCGTAGGGAACGGGAGGCAAGGCAGTCCCTGCCTGGTGGGGTAGGGAGCAGTGGGTGACCAACGGAAAAGGTTGAGGTAGGGAACTATCTTCTCAGCTCCCAGTGTTTCCAGGAGGGGTCAGATGCTTTTCTATGGAGTCGTTCTGTGACAAGCAAAGGGTCAAGTTCTGTTTGCATGAACGTCAGGGAGACCACGCCCCGTAAATAAGGCAGCCCAGAATCTGGCCTGGAATGCACCTCATTGCTCTGTCCCCTCTACATTTGTCGATAGGAATTGCTTGCCTGTTATCTACCTATTCCTTTACAAAATGTGTGTACATGTAGCCTTCCTATGAAATGTAACCCATGTGCCTATACCCGTCTATAACACACGGCCCATGTCTCTACCCTGCTTAGAACACCTATTACTCATGTATTAACCCTTCAGAAACCTACATATGCACTGTAGCCTTGCCGGCTAATTCACTGAGTACATTTTGGCCTTACAAGCTAAATCCTGGAAGATCTGTCTGACTGCAAGTGCCAGGTCTTTATACAGACCTAAGTACGCCCCGGGAGGCCAGGTTCTCATCTCAGTTACACTAGTGTAAACTCAGCGTAATGCTAAAGAATCCAGTGATTCACTCTAGGTTTACCCAACAGTACTAAAAGCAGAATTAGCTTCTCATTGTTTTATTACCTCCCCCGGCCCACAAAAAAAAAACACCTTAGCAAGATTTACACTAGACCTTACACAGCTGTTGACATTCTCAGTCAGCGGCGCTTCCCAGGTGCCTATTTGAACAGCTCTCCTGGCAGCTGGTGGGTTCGTATAAATGTTTTGCATGGTAAAGTCAGTTTATTCATAGAACGGCCACAGAGGAAGCAGCACTTCTCTGATCTAGCTGCGTGAGGGTTTGCATCCCGCCCCGGTACTGCACTCCGGGGGGGTGTTATTCTGCTTAAGCCGCTCAGCTCTCACTAGTCAAATGTACTAATAAGATGTTTATTTTTTATCAATAATAATGTCACAGAACCATAGGGGTTGGAACAGACCTCATCTAGTCCAATCCCCTGCTCAAAGCAGGACCAACCCCAACTAAATCATCCCAGCCAGGGATTTGTCAAGCCGGGCCTTAAAAACCTCTAAGAAAGGAGATTCCACCACCTCCCTAGGGAACCCATTCCAGTGCTTCACCACCCTCCTAGTGAAACAGTGTTTCCTAATATCCAACCTGGACCTCCCCCACTGCAACTTGAGACCATTGCTCCTTGTTCTGTCATCTGCCACCACTGAGAACAGCCGAGCTCCATCCTCTTTGGAACCCCCCTTCAGGTTTATAGGACATTTATATGACAGTAGCACCTACAGGCCCCACTCCAGCATCGGGCCCCTTTATGGTTGGCACTTTACAGACATATCCATTTATTTGTTAGAACTTTGTGTACATTCTATTCCGGGGGTGGGGAGGCAGAGAGGAATTCACGCTTAATTCTTTTATTTAATTTTAAATGAACAGAAAGATCTGGGAGGCCAGGCTGGCTGGACAGCCACATGTTGATGGCAGTGTAGATGAGGAGTAAATCCACGGAAGGCCATGAAGCTACATGAGTGCAAGCGTAAGTTTACACAGCAGGAGCTGTGCACCAGGCTAGCCTATCTGAGCTAGCTTGAAGCCATCTAGCGCGCGTGATGTTAGCAGTGAAGTGTGGGCTTTATTTATTTAAGCTAAGAACGTACCCAAGGTCTATGCCAGGCTTTGCAGCTCAGGCAGTATCTGTCTTCAATGTTGCTGTTACCCCACTAACTTGGATTTCAGGTAGCTCAGGGGTAGGGTAGCCCGTGATCAGGTTTTCCTCTGCAGAGACATACCCTCCATGAGATCAGCATCAGGGCCTCAGCCTCCGTTATGTTCACTTACTGAGGTGTGGTTTCCACCTATGCCACCGGGAGGCAGGGTGGGGTGGCTGAGTGCAAAGGAGCAGGGCAGGAGACCATGGTGTGGTGGCTCAGAGAGAGACGCAAACAGTCAGTGTAATTCTCATGACGCCTCCTTTGCACCTTGGGGGCAGATCAGTAGTGGTGGGAGGGAGCATTAGCTTCATGCCAACTCCACAGAGGCACAGGTGTGTGTGGGGTGGACAGAGCCCATCGCCTCTGAGCATGGCCAAATTTGGTCTCAGTAAAAATTCAAAGGGATTCAAAGGGTCAGCACCTGAAGGGGCTTTTGATAGGAGTGATTATTGCACAATAACACGTTTAGCACGTTCAGAACAGACACTGCAATGAGAGAACCGAACGGAACCTGGCGTGGTGATGGAACGACCTACCCCGGGGCCAGGCAGTCCACGGGGACCTCTCGCACCTGCCACACCGAGGCCAATCTCCCCCTGCACAACAGAAAGGAACACAAAGGGGTCGTTTCAGGGACACAGCCGCACATTTCTCCTCTCGGTGCCACACCTCTCTGTTACTACCTAGGGCATGAGGCAAAGCCCCCTGAAATCAATGGGCATTTTACCATGAATTCCAGCGGGCATTGGCTCAATCCCTTGTATTGCAAAGACCACAATGGCTGGGCCCAAACCACGCTTATCCCCTTGTTATTGCTCTAGTGCCAACAGCAGGATTGCTGCCTCACAGACAGGTGACACATCACAGCCCCTGCCCGGAGGGGCCCACAATTTAAGAGGGCAACATCAAAGGGCATGTCTACGCTGCACAGTTAACCCACACACCCCTACTGTACACACAGAAAAACCTCGGATCTGGGTTTGGAGGAGGCTTGGAAACTTGGGTTGGAACTCGCCCACTTTGACGTGAGGACACTGGCTAAACCACTTGAGTGGGGACAGTCCTCCAATGCCGTGCCACAGTTTCCCCTGAAGGACAGAGAAGTTCTCCTGCAATTGACCAGGAAAGAATCTAGAGCATCGCAGCACAAAGACGCGTGGGCTATGCCCCTGGTACACACGGGCAAGCGCAGACAGCATGAGGAGACAGTGATGCAGGTATGGCTCGCCAGCGGGGATGCTCACACCTGGGCGAAGCTAACAAAGACCTCCCTGGGCTTGGGATCAGGCCTCTCATCTGTTAACACTGCTTTGGAGGAGACCATTCGGGTGTGTGGGTCCTCAGGGGGAAAGTGCATGAAGGGGGAGCAGGTGTAGGATTGCCAACTTCGAATTTCTGAAAACCGCACACTACAGCAGGAGCACCGGAACCTTCCGCCGCCCCCTGCTCTGCCTCCACCTCCTGAGGCCCCGCCCCTTGCTCCGCCTCTTCCCCTGAAGCCTGTCGCTGCTCTCCCCCTTCCTCATCACTCGATCCTCTCCACCCCCCTCCGCCCCCCCCCCTAGCTGGGCTCCCTCTGCTCCAGGGCTGGGACAGGAGCTGCAGCCCCTGATACGGAGCCTGTCTGCCCATGAGATGCAGGTAGGACGAGGCGGCCCTGGCTGAGCAGGAGCTGGTGCGGGTTGATGACCCGGTGCCTCTCCCTGCCCCCATCCACGGTAACTGGTCTGTTCGTGTCCAGTCAGTGCATTGGACCGGACACTGTACAGGTCCCCTTTTGAACAGACGTTCCAGTCAAAAACCAGTCACTAGGCAACCCTAAGCAGGTGGGGATGTTGGATGTGGTCAGGCCTGGCTTCCAGCTGTATGGGGTGAGACAGGCGGCAGTGAGAAGTCATGGTGTGTCCTTTCAGTCCTCCTCAGAGTGCAATTCCCACCCCTCCATCCCTGCCCATAGCTTTGGGCAGAGGCTACCATTTTGGGATTCATACTGGCATCGTCTCTGTCTTTCCCGCCATCCTCAGCTCACCTTGTTGCCATTGGTCCCGGGCAGCCCTCGCATCCCCTGCAGAGCAAGGAGACACACACTTGAGTTTGTGACACCTCTGATGCACCGTGCCCCAAGGAACGGAGCCGGCGAGCGGCAGGCAGGTTGTAACACGCACAGCAAAAGGAATTCAGAGCGGGTGAGAAGAACTGGGCTGAGAGCCGGAGAACAAAGCCCTCCCTCCCTCCACGGGACAGATACAGCATGGGCAGCAGCAGCACGAACTTCCCTGCCGTGATCCCTCTGCCGTTGGGCCTCACTCCTGAGCCGAGGCCAAATCTGCATGTGGAAGGATCCATGCACCGTCCCCTCCCAGCCCCTGTGTAGGACTCCCCCTCACAGTCTGGGGTCTGTGCACTAAGGATCTGTGTTTTTACAGCGCCTAGCCCGACGGGATCCTGGTCCATGACTGGGGAACGCACAAAATATACAATAACAAGGGTACGAGTAGCTCACTCACGGAATGCAACAGTGAAAGTAACCAAAGGTCACCTGTTTTCCCGGGGGCCCTGGAGGTCCTGCCGGCCCCGTGGATCCATTCCTGCCTCTCCTACCGCGTTCCCCCTTCAAACAGAAAAGCCGTTAAGAGGGAGATGGGCAGTAAATGGCCTAAACAGTAGAAGAAGCTTACAATAGTTGTAAGGCAACTGGGCAGGGGGTTGGCTTACAAGAGGGGTGTAGCGAGGCGGTGTGGCTCCCCACCGCCCCCGAGAGGGACGAGCCTCTCTGGACACCAAAGTGGGAGGAGCCAGCAAACGCTGCGCCCGCCTCCCAGAGGTCAAGGCGCAGGACAGGAAGTATAAAAACTCAGCCCCAGAGCTCACTAGAAGAACAGCTGCCAGAGAGGCCAGACACCTTTTTTTAAAAAAAATATGGAGATATCCTATCTCACAGAACTGGAAGGGACCCCGAAAGGTCATCAAGTCCAGCCCACTGCCTTCATTAGCAGGACCAAGTAGTGATTTTTGCCTCAGATCCCTAAGTGGCCCCCTCAAAGATTGAACTCATAACCCTGGGTTTAGCAGGCTAATGCTCAAACCACTGAGCTATCCCTCCCCTACCAGTTAGGAGACCCTAGCAACTGGCGGCGGACCCAGAGACTGGCCTGACCTGCCAACACCTGACATTGACCAGAGCCCTGAGGAGCTGTCAAGCCTGCCCCTCGCAAGTTACCCAGAGGAGTTGCCAAACCTACCCCTTGCCAGGTACCCTGAGGAGCCCATGGTGCTGGCCCCCCCCGGAGGACACCGTCCGGACCCAGGTACCACACGAGGGGAAGTTAGGCAGTAGCCCAGGGGCAGCCGACCCTAGTCTGGCTGCAGCACTGTCAGAGCCTATGTCCATGTGTTGCGGCCAGGATCCCCCTGACGCAGCAGCGGGTCTTCTGCCGCTGCTAGGGCCGGGCTGGGACGCAGTGGAAAAGGAGGGGCTGTGTCCCCCCGCCACCCAACTTGTGGGTGTCAGTCTCCCCCTCTCCCAGGCCCTTCGGAGCCAAGAGTCTGGACTTGCTGTCTACCTGCCTTTGCTCAGCCCTGCCTGAGGGCCTGAGCCATTGACGCCCTGATCCAGGGCCGGGACCTGCTCATTATATAACAGTTGCCCAGCTCCTGTCTGAGAACCTGAGCCTGTGACTCACTACTGCCCGCCGACCAGGCGTGAATAACTATTTGTGTTTTGGCTCTACTGCCACCGCGGCGAGAGACTCCCATGGCCAGGCTAATTGCCCATCACAACTGAAAGGAAGTAGCGAGGCGGTGTGGTTCCCCGCCGCCTGGAGAGGGATGAGCCCCGGCCAAACCCCTCTACAAGGGGGCAGCTGAGGAACAGCCTCCATCTCCCCAGATCACACTAAGCAACTCTGAGCTTTTCTAGGAATGAAAAAGAAGATCCCTTTGGGCCCAGAGGGTGGCTGGCTCTGCAGGCAGATCTGGAGATCCATCCCAGGGAGAAAGCTTGTCAGAGATCGGCTACTGAGTTAGATGGAGGGCGGGTCTGATGCAGTCTGACCATCCCTAGGTTCGACTGTTGAGTAGGTCATTTGAAATTCTCCAGTGTGCTACCGTCCGCACAAGCTGATAGAGACGAGATGCTCTAGCTCACAGACCCGGTCTGGGCTTGATGCTGGAATCTCTAGGGTGAGGTTCTCCAGCCTGTGTTACACAGGAGGTCAGCTTAGGTGGTCCCCTGTGGCTTCACAGCCTCGGGGAGTTAATAAACGTAGGGAAGAGGGGGAAAGAGTGAACCACTGCTGGAGGGCAAGTGATCGGGCATCATGCAAGGGGAGCAGTGCTTGGGAGGGGGCTACTGTTTGTTTTTCCTGGGCTGGACTGGCTGATGTGGTCTAACATTAGATACAGCAGTTTCCAAGCGCCCCGGTGATTCAACACCTGGGACTGCTCTCGGTGTCGCGTGGAACAGCCGAGCAAAGGAACATCCCAACGTCAGCAGCGCCCGGCAAGGATTAACTGTCCCCGTGCATCACGCAGTTCTTCGCTCACAACACGAGAGCTTGCTCACCGCGCTGTAACTGCTGTGCTTGTAGCACTGAGGCTGATTACGGTGTGTGTCAGGGTGACACAGCCATTTCCCGGGGAGGAAGGTCTTCGTGCTCCGGCAGCAGGACGTGTGCTGAGAACAGCTCTGCCTCCTGAATCTCACAGGCAAGATTTCAGCTGGGTGTGGGGGAACGGTAATGGCCCTTGGGACTGGTTGTCCCACGCTGCGTGAGGTCCCTCCCACCACACGGCTTCTCACAGAGTCTCAGCATCTGTTTGCACCCTCGTGCCTTGCGATTGTGGGTACAATGCAGTCCTCTCTTCCCCCCCCCCACACCACACTCACTCTTTATTGCCCATGACATGTCACCTACCTTCTGCCCCGGCATGCCCGATGGACCTGGGGCTCCTCTCTCTCCCGGTGATCCTGGAATGCCAGGGTTGCCACGAATACCCTGGATGCCCTGCACTCCCGGAGGTCCCGGGGCCCCGGGCTCCCCCTGTGGCAAAGGAATCATGTGGATGTAGTCACAACATGAGCCGCAGGCTCCCTGGTAACACAGCTCATTGTAGCCATGACCAGCAGGGTATTCGCAAGGGGTTCTCTGCTCCCTTGACATCTACTGCTCCTTCCAGATTTAACTGATGAGTCCACCGAGTGCCCATGCAAGGAAGGACACTGGCCTGAGCCGGGCACAGGGCCGACAGGCACCTCTCTGCACACCGCTACCCTCATGAGACCTGCAACACCCCCCACCGCCCAGTCCTCAGCTCCCACGCAGCTCACACTCCCACCTCTGCCCTGCAGCAGCAAACCCCCCCAGCCATTGTAGCCCCGATGCCCCACACTGCTCTGCCAGAGCATCTTAACGCTGACCTGCGAGTTCACCTCTATTATTCCAGCCTGAAATGGCTCCACCAATGCCCCCCAATCCTCACATGCCTGCAGCACCCCATTTATTTCAGTCCTGGGAGCTCACAAGCGCAGCCTGGCTAATGCACTTCGCCTCTGATTCTTCAGCATCCAGCTCTGGCAACGGTAAAACGACCTTCCATCTGCCCACCCCAAAGGAAACGTCAGGTGTGAAACGGTGCCATGCAGGAGACAGCCCCCAGAGCTGTGCGTTTGGAACACACGGGTGGTCTTGCCCCCCAGAGCCTCGACTGGCTTTGCTAGCCCATCTCTGCAAGCCCCACTGAGCCCCGTGGACCCTTGGTGCCTGCCTGCATGGTGGTTGTGCGATCAGCAAGGGGCACAAAGAGAGAGCATCTTGGATGATGTGCGCACAAAGTGAGATCCTGTCCACTTACCTTATACCCAGGGGGCCCAGCTTGACCGACGGGGCCTCTGAACCCAATTCCTGGTTCTCCCTGTAAAGAGAGACAAGGGGAGGAGATCAAGAACAATCAGAAACACACCGCTTCCTCCATCATGGGCCTGTCAAAATCATACTGGACACGTCACTACGTGCTGCTCACTTCAGGCCCAATCCAACTCCCACTGAAGTCAATACTCCGGATACTGGAGCTACAGAACCCACCCAAGATAGATGGATGTAAGGCTGCTGCATCCGCCGTTGAGGGAGGAGAGTTATATGGCCCACTCCCAGAGGGAGAGAACTACAGCGAGAAGCTAAACAGCTCGACGCTGGAGAAAACACAAGAGACAGCGGTAGGCAGCAGCTGATCGTCTACAGTGATTAGATCTATATACGCAGCATTACTGAACAAAGCCCTTTTGTGTACAGAGAGAAGAGCCAGGAAGGGACAGCAAGACATGAATTCTAATGGTGTACGAACAGCGGCCTAAGCAGGAGAGTCCTTGAGTATGGTACCAAAGTCATCTCTTACCTTTTGACCATTTTCTCCTCTGTCTCCTTTAGTGCCCTAGGAATGAAGAGAACGTTACAGAGTCCGTGATCATTGCTGGGGAAGAGGGCTGGGTGAAATACGCCCTGCATGGGATCGGGAACCATGTCAGAGATTTCTGTGTAATCTGCAAGGGGCACAGAGAATCTCCGGCTGGTCATAACTGTGGGCTTGGAACTGCTGCTTCCACTCACTACGAGGGCACAGGAAGCATGGTCGTGGAGCAAAAGGGACGAAGAGCACTGATCCTAAGTGTATACAGATAAGTCGTAGATCTTTCCTGCAGTCTTACCCTTGGAATCACCAGCCGGTCCTAGGCAGATATGAACGAGTAGTTTTTAGGGACAGAATCACTGCTTTGGGGGTTAAAATCCAGGCGCTCTTGTCTGTAGGAAGCAGCTTCAAAGGAGCTCTTAAGCACCAGGAACAAACAATCTTAGGCCATCAGCCTGCTCTTCCGAATTCACTGTGGATCTGGTCAGTATTAGAGCTAGGCCGGAACTAAAGAGGGTCTGAATGCCCCAAACACTGGGGGAATTTGGACCTGAGACTTTATCTTTCCTATGGGCAAAACCCACACGCTGGATCCCAACCGTCGGGCCATAAGAAACTTCTGATCTGGATCCGGATCCAGACTTTGCAGCTCAAGTTCTCTCTCGGCTCCCCCATCTCCCCTGGCAAGGAGAAGACATCACCTCTTCTAGATGCCCAGTCCTTCCTCATCTCCCTCCCTACAGAGCATGCACGTTACAGACAGCTCTGCAGTGTGACCATTTAATGACACAACGCCTCGAGCAAACCATTCTGATGCTTGCAGTTTCTTCCCTCCTCGCTCCCAAGACACTTTTACAGTGACATGCCTTCGACAGTGCTTCCTGCAGAATACGTGGAACAGGTGGCCCAGCTGGCTTTCCGATCATCGTTATCCCAAAAGCACGCAGCCATCTTGCGGATTGAACACCACCCAGGTCGATCCCTAGCTAGGTCCTTAAAGTGGTCTTGCTAGACCTTCAGTCAATGCCCATCACTGGCGAGCTTATTGTGCCACCAAACTTTTAGCAACCGCATGATTGCTGGCCGTGCAATGGCATTCCCATCCCAGTTTACCCATCCGCCCACTCACTGGATACAAAAGGCATGGCATAGACTCAGTGCAATCCACTTCAGTGGCCCTAGACGCTGGACACATGGCTTAAAACGCCTGCCCAGCACTGTCTTTCACTGATAGTTGGTGGGAACTGTTGTATGATCCTAGGTACCTCCCGCTCTGTCACCCTGGGTTCACACCGGCCCATCGTCTCTCCTAGTCTGCAGCAATCCTTTGTGCTGCTTCCCTGCCCTGACTGAGAACCACGTTCCCCTCTCCTTCACATCCCGGAACATTTGAATATTTCCACCTTGTTTATTTCTCTAGAGCCATCTGTGAAATAAAAAAGGCCACATCCCCTAGGATAGCGCATTGCTACGAGCACCTGGATCAGCATAGCAACAGCTTCGGGGGATCCTGCTTGAGGTCTGCCGCTGAGCCGGACAGACTGGGCCCACGTCCCATTGCCTTGCACCATCCACCATCCTTTCCACTAGTGCAAAGAGGCTGTGAGATGCTCCCCATTCTGAGCTGGTAGCATTGCACCCCCGTTTTGCACAAACAGAAGCCCCCAGGCAGTAGGGAACTCAGGTCTGCTGCAGAAAGGGGCAGATGTATTCTTGGGCACTATCTATTGGCACGTGATCTTTAACTAATTACACATGTGCCGACATAGGTCACTCTCATAGCAATCAGGGCTCCATTTAAAACTCCCGGACTCCAGATCCACCTAGGACTTGAGTTAGTAATTGGCTGGCAATGGATAGCCAGGTCAGCCCCTAGGGAGCCGGGGACTCGTTCCCCATGTCAAATATTGCTGCAACACACAAAACAATTGAAGGTACCTTTTCTCCTTTGTCTCCCCTGGCTCCAGGAGATCCCTTTTCTCCCTGTAAAGCAAAAAGCCGCTCCTTCACTCCTTTGTGCTAACCTTAGTGACTGACCTGAGCTCTGAATCTGTCCAGTTCATGCCTAGATACCACAGTGATGGGCACCATGGAAATACACATTGTTAGACTAGAGAGATGATGAAGGGGACAGATGTACGTTCGTTGTGGTGTGGGTGGGAACAAGGGAGATTGGCTGTTATTCTAACACAGGGAGAGGGGCCTATAGGATAGAACTGGGTGAAATGTGATTTTTTTTTTCCCCCACAAAGAAAATTTCAACCCCAAAACCCCCAAATCCCTTTTCGTTGGAAATTTCCAAGGACATTTTTGATTATTTGGTGGAAAATTTGAGGCCGAAAAATTCTGGCTGAAAACTGGGACTATTTGGAAATACTGCCATAGTGCCTCATGGGAGTTGTAGTTTGGGGGCCTCTTCCATGGGTCGGGCTCCATCTCCTGAGGGGCAGCGGGAGAGCTCTGCCTGCTTCGTGCAGCAGCTCTCATTGGCTGCTCTTCCCCAGAGGGCGGGGAAGTGGGGGAGACAGCCAATCAGAGGGAGTTTTCCCCAGGGAGGGCTGAAATTTGCATGGGGGCTGGCGCGAGTCCTTGTGATGGCATCATCGCGAGCCAAGCTCCAGCGAGGCTTTTCACCTGCTGAGATCTGCATTTGGGTTTCTCCTGCAAACATGGAGACGCACTGCTGCATCCCCTCAACTGCCACAGTGACCCTGGGCCAGTCAAGGTTCTGTCTACCCTACATTGTAAACCCAGGTCTGTGGGAGCTGAGTTTGTGCACTTGGTGTTTCCAAGCCTATGCTTGGGCATCCCCACAGCTTTGTGGCTTACTACTGCTGGACCCAGATCTCACAGCCATGCTAACACATCCAGACCTCACTACCCAGATCTTCTGACTCAGATCTGCAGCTTGAGCTGCGTCCACACTGCAAAACAACCCCAAGTCACAGAACCCAGGTCCTGAGTGCTGGCTGACCCAAGTCAGACTGATTTGTGTGTGGACGGAAGCGGGGCTTGGGCTCAAACCTGAGTCCGAGCCCGGGCTTAGTGTGCAGTGTAGCCATACAATTTGAACTTCCTGCACCTCAGCTGCCCATCTGTAAAATGGGAATAATACAACCTCCTTTCTCCCACTTTTGTCTGTATCATGTATTGAGACTGGAAACTCTTCATATGCATGTACAGCACCTTGCACAAAAGGCCCTTGATCTCAGCTGGGGCTTCTAAATGGTACCCTAATATAAATAATAAACAGCAACAAGAACTGACACCCCACTTTGCTCCAGTGTAAATGACTTTACAAGACATTGAGCCGTGGGGAGTCAGGCCCAATAGGCTGATGATTATTTGGGAGCTTCAGGGATTTAATTTGTCTTTAAAGGCTTTTCAGCTCAGCTCTGTGATGGAGCTCCGATTCTGTGGGGTATTTGTTTCTTTGTTTTGTTAAAACGTTAAAGAAAAACTCAGACCTTTTGACCTTGGAACGGCACCAGTTCTGAATCCACCATGTCTGACTCCTGCTTCTGCAAAAAGAAAATAGAGGCCCCCCCCCCACACACACAATCAAACAGGAGATTTTGGACAAAACAATGAAGAACCAGCTGCATCTAACACGCACGGAGCTGTAGTAACAGCTCTATAAAATAAAGGTATTACCTTGATCCTCCTTGTGCCTTGAGGTCCTGGATATGTCTTGAATTTAAAAAAAAACAGAGGAGGAGGTTTTCAGAGGAGAGCGTATGATTGCAGGCTAATATTTCATATTTCAGAGATATTTCATCCACAACACGTGGGAAAGAACTATTTGAACATGGAGGCACCTTATACCTATCACGATCAATGCAACCATTCATTCTTACTGCATCCCGATGCCAACCGTGGTGAATTGGGTGCATTTAGTGGACAGGTTACATCTTAGCAGGAATCAGTGAACACTTATCAGGGGTCACTTAGACGCAGCCTTATCCAATTGAACATAGGGGCGAATGACACAAAAAGGATTTCATTGAAGCTGTTCCAAAATTAGGCTGTGGGAATCGAGAGCAGAATGTGCCTATTGTCTGGTTTTTCAGTATGATCAAGTGCAATGAAAAGGAAAATAAGTGAAACTTTAGGATCGACTCACAACAAACGTGGTTATCTGGAGGTCAGGTGGCTTTTGCTCCCCATACACTTGAGGAACAAAAGGTTTCAGAGCCCCAAACCCAATGGTTAGAAAGGCAGTAAAGCTCAGTTGAGGTCTCCACACCTCTCCCCCAAAAGAATGTTAGCGTTACAAGACAAAATCCCAACAAGGAACGTACATAAAGCAGGAAATGGCCAGTTAAGATGTTCCTTCACACACAACACAACTGTGTCACCTTAACTCTGCCCTCATAGGGATGGCAATAGGTTCATCACAGTAGCTTACCCCTCCCTAACGAAAATTTCCTTTGTGTCAACCACAGCTCCCAATCAGGGCTCCTATTCATGCAGTCTGAGAGGACCCTCCACGAGCCGAGCTGCAGAATCAGGGCCACAGTAGGGAAATACTTTCTTGTTTAAAAGAACCAGTTTCCACTAAGATTTTTTTTTAAAAGGGAAAATTTTTCCGAAAGCGCAGGTTCCCTCTGACCGAGCTGCATGGTGCATCGTGAGAGTCACATGACTGAGGTCCATCATGGGAGATGTAGTTTGGCCAGGCAGCCCAGCCCATAAGGGGGAATAAGGGCATGTGGCATCCAAACTACAACTCCCATGAGGCACTGCGGCACCATAAGAAGATGCAGTCTAACACTGAACCAACTCAAAGTGAACTATTTTGACATTTTCCAAATAACAAATTTTCTGAATTTTTTTTTCCACTACAAATTTGGATATCCTGACTCTTTTTCCCAATCTGGGATGAAACCAAATGTAGAAATAGCGAGAGCTCCGGCCAGGGGCGCCAGAACAGGGGGGCAGGAGGCCACAGTCCCCACCCCACTTTTTATCAGCTGTAAGGGAGTGATGGGGTAGGGGGGCGGAGAGGAGCAAGTGTGGGCCAGGTCTTGGGAGGGAAGAGGTGGAGTGGGAGTGAGGCCTTGAGGGAAGGGGTGGTGCGAGGGCGGGGCCTTAGGGAAAAGGGATAGGGGAGGTGCGAGCCTCAGAGGGAAGGGGCAGTGGTGGGGCACGGTTCGGGCACTGGTGGCCCCCCCACTTTTAGAGACCTTCTGCCACTCCCGATTTTGCTCTGCTCTAATGCTGAAGAATAGAGTTTCACATGTCCAATCTGACATACATAACCACAATAAAACAGCTGTGTATAATTGTGTGTGTGGGTATAGATATATTTGTTGCACACACAAAACTTCCCCAAAGTTGGCCATTGTGTTCCATCAGTGATTAACATTGGTTTCTCTGTTCCTCTTGTGTTCTTTACAGGGCCGACTCTGGCTTTTTTGCCGCCCTAGGCAAAAGTTGGCAGGGGAGGGTGCCGAGCCCTGCCGCGGGCTCGCAATCCCCGACCGGCCAGAGCGCTGGGGGGAGGGCGGCGAGCCCAGTCGCAGCCCCGCTCTCGGGCCGGAGCGCCCCGCCGCGCCACCCCCCTCCAGGCGCCGCCCCCCTCCAGGCGCCGCCCCAAGCACATGCTTGGTGGGCTGGTGCCTGGAGCCGGCCCTGTTTCTTTAAGTATCATACACTTCCCTTCCCCATCTCTCTTGGGAGGAGCACTTAGCCGTACCAAGGGACACTGGCTTGGCGGCTGCTGCTGCTTGTTTATTATTTACAGGGAGCGTTTCACCCTCGCCCTAGGTGTATTACTATTTTTAATGAGTGAGAAAGCAGCAAAAGCTGTTACCCCAGTGTCCATCTGGAATAAATTGCCTAGGGAGGTTGTGGAATCTCCATCTCTGGAGATATTTAAGAGTAGGTTAGATAAATGTCTATCAGGAATGGTCTAGACAGTATTTGGTCCTGCCATGAGGGCAGAGGACTGGACTCGATGACCTCTTGAGGTCCCTTCCAGTCCTAGAATCTATGAATCTATGAATCTCATAAGCACTATCTCTGCAAACACTCCAGATATTCAGCCATCGCTTACCATATATCCAGCCGGGGATTTCTGAACTCCAGCGGCACCAGGCGAGTGAGTCTGTATAGGGACAACAGGGAGTTATTACCGCTTCCTTCCAAATAGCGTTGATTGCTTTGCGCTCAGGCATAACAGACTGAGGTGGTGGAAACAGGGGTCTTTACCATGTGCCTCTGTCTCTCAGCCGTTCTTCTGACTCTAACATGGCTCGTTAACTCAGGGCCGTCAACTGGATCTGCATTTTCCTGCGTGAAGGAAAACAGCATCCCTTAAAGCAATCAGATGCGTAAGTTGGATTATTTAATTTTACACTGTGCCATAACTTTACTGCTACTTCAAAAAAGCCAACACATTGCAATTGCTAGTGTTAACTGCAAGAGTGTCACTGAACTGTTCAGGTGCGTCCATGTAGAATTCACCTGCAGTGTTGCTGAAGATACCAGGTACATCCAGGAAGAATGCACCTACCTTTTGGGCTATTACATGTACCAACCATGTCTAGATAACACACAACTGCAATGGTGCTTGGTGCACTAGCTGAGTCTAGGTATAGCACACCTGCTGTGGTGCTTAGTGGACTTGGTACAGTCCACTGAAAGCACTGGAATATTAATGGCCAAAGGCCCCACCACCACATGTGATGAAAGGCCAGATGGGAATGGCTTAATCTGCAACTCACAGATGTTTGCAATGTTTGTGTTTTGGGATGTACTGGCAGCATACGTGTGAGATGTATATGGTAGAAAGTGTGCTAAGGGTCACCTGCCCTAGCAGTAAACACTCGATGCCTATAGCAGTTCCTACATATTAATTGCACCCAACTATCTGCTCCTGTATTTTGAAAGGGAGGAAATTAGAAGTTGCCAGACATTACTCCCCACGCCACTCACACCATGAACCGCCAGGACATGAAAACAAAGGAGTTGAGTGATTCATGCTGAAATAAACTCAACTACCCTAGTGGATCGTAGGTCTTTGTCTGTGGAAGAGTCAGGAACAGAACCCCATTTTTTAAACTCCCACCCATGTGTTTTAACTACAAACTCGTTCTTCCTCTCACACGTAACTGCATGTTATGAAGCAAATAAGACTGGTTACTTTCACCTGGGACGCAGGTACATCACCCACTGACTTTAATGTGACTCTCCGTGCAATACGGTGCTACTTGGCATGAGGAAGGGAATCAGAATCTAACCCATTGTGACAGAAATATCAGGCCTCAGAGAAAAAGAACTGTAGCATGAAAATATTGATACCAAGCCCCAGGGTGGTTTCCATCTGCTATTTACAACGTTTTGGAAGTGATTTGTTACAGGAAGTGTGAATGAAATTGACTCCATGCAGAGGGCCAACACAAGAACAAGGGGCATCACTTTGTTCCAGGCAAGCCCTCTTCACAGGAGAGGATTTTACCCTGAATAAATCGTAAACCCTTTGGAGCAGGGACTCTCGTTTTGTTCTTTGTTCGTACGGCACCTAGCACAATGGGCCATGACTGGGCTCCTAAGCATTGCTGCAATACACATAAATAAATAATAATCATTGAATAATTCACTGGGAACCAAACTGATCAAATCAATGCATTAGCTCATCGCGTCCCTCCAAAATAAAATGGAGTGAAGTAAAAAGCAAAATAACCGTATTTCTCCCAGCTCCCCACTAGTTCTCGCTTTAATTTAATTCATTAACTGGCTTCTTTTGTACCTCTGGGATTATTACCAGCTCTTGATCCTTGCACATCTGGGAAGGGGACAAAAAGGCAGAGCTACTTAGGGATGGACAGTGCAGAAAGCTGAAGAGGGGAGTTGTTGGAAATGGGAAAGAAGAGACTGGGGAACCGCTGGTGAATGGTACAGATTATGGTCACGGGTCCTCGTGCATCTAATAACTGACCGACCAGCCTGTTGGTGCAAGACAAACTTGAACGTTGTCCATGTGAGCAAGCACCAGGCCCAAAGGGGTTGGGTACTTCCTGTGTGGCTTGAGTTTTCCTGGCCCCAGTTGTTCCGCCATAAGAGGGGTTTATGAAAGAAGGAGCTATGTGGTAAGAGTATCGCATGTTCATCTCCACCACGGGAGCTCAGTTGTGGTAATTTCCCCCATTAGTCTTATTCATTCCTAGTCGTTCAACAGACTCCAGGTAGGTCTTCAGCAGCAGGGATAGAACCTGTGACCTCTGGAGCCTAAACCATGAGCCTGTACTGCTAAAAGACCCAGCTCTGTTAGCCAAAGCTGTAACAGGTGCATCCTCTAGCTTCGGGCAGACATCACTGGTGCACCCCACTGAGCGGGTGCGGACGAGTATGCCCTTTAGGTGGGTGGATTTTATGATATCTACAAGAATGTTTTTTAAAGCGGTGGTTTGGTTCCTTCCCCCACCTTGTCAAACTCCAGACAACCCAAAGGAATTTGTTGAAATGCTCTAGGGGGGAAAAAAAACCCACTTTCCTACCTGGAAGGTTTTACCAAGAGAGGAAAGTTTCAGCCCCCAAAATGAAAGTTTTGGAAAGTTACAAGGATGGGAAAAGAGGGTGATAAACAGAAGCTATACAGTTTAACTACAGTGGATGCTACTTGTGCTTGCTATAATGACATAATTTAAAAGATAAGGGACTTGATAGATTAGGTTAGATTGTAAACTTTGGGGCAGGGACTGTCTATTTGTTAATATATTAATAATTATATATGAATAGCCAGCTCTTATCTAGCCCTTCTCATCAGTAGATCTCAAAGCACTTTATAAAAGAGGTATCTTTATCCCCATTTTACAGATGGGAAAATTGAGGCCCAGAGCGGTGACGTGACTTTCCCATGTTTACAAACCTAACATCGTGGGGTCCTGGTCCATGACTGGGGCTCCTACATGCTACAAATAAGGAATCAGAATAATAGCTACGGGGACTATAGCAGGAACCTTTTATCTCGAGGGCTCCAGGCCTGCAAGCTGCTCTGTGCATCTTTGCCATTGCGCCCATGTTGACTTCAATGATCTGCATGGAGCAATTTCCAGGAGCAAGGCCAGGCTCACGAAGACCTGAAACATGTTACCTCCTGTGGAGCGGGGGATGTGGAAGGAGCTAAGCAAGGGCAAGCAGATGTGGCCTGTTACCTTTATGTCTGGGAGGACTGTATCAGCTGCTTCAGAAGAACCATTGTTGCCCACTGAATGATGAGGCTGCAAAAGAAAACAGCACAATTCAGACTGGGAGCTCTCTTGGCATTGGCGCTATAGGATTCTTTGCAGTGGCCAAGATGGTTGGATGGGAGGTCTCAGGCAGTACTCTTAGTGTTATTACTCAAATGGAGGAAAGTAACTTCTACTTCCCATCCAGGATGGCAGGTTTAAAACAAACAAAAGGAAGTATTTTTGCACAAAACACACAGTTAACTTGTGGAACTCCTTGCCAGAGGATGTTGTGAAGGCCAAGACTAGAACAGAGTTCAAAAAAGAACTAGATAAGTTCATGGAGGATATGTCCATCAATGGCTATTAGCCAGGATGGGCAGGGATGGTGTCCCTAACCTCTGTTTGCCAGAAGCTGGGAATAGGCAACAGGGGATGGATCACTTCATGATTACCTGTTCTGTTCATTCCCTCTGGGGCACCTGGCATTGGCCACTGTCGGAAGACAGGATATTGGGCTAGATGGACCTTTAGTCTGACCCAGTACAGCCGTTCTTATGTATGACACAACTACTTGGGTTGGCTTTGCCTTTCTCTCCGACCAAGTTAATTTGATTCCACAGCCCACTTTTAGTAAACTCTTCTACCACCAAGAAATTGGACCTCTGGAGCCAACTGCTTGGGTTATTGTCAACTCAACACCTGTCAAGGGCCCCATGAACCTTTTAATGGTTATGCTTCCTGATTAGAGCTGCTGCTAATGGGGACAACAACCGGCTATATTTATCTCTAGCTGTATTTCCCCCTGGTGGGTATGTGGTTATTTAACCAAAGACACCTGAGCCACGCTGCAAGTAAAGAGGAGAGGGAAGCTGGTATCTTGCCACTGTTGCATACACAGAACCCGCAATGAAGTCCAGGGGAGTTTTACATCAAAATCAACAGCAGGAGACTGCTCTGAAGTTGAGATTAGAATGGGCTTTGGCGTTTCGGAGGGTTTAGTTTGGCTGTCAGAATGAAAGGGCCTGTTGCAGACCTACTGAGAACTCCTGGGAAATGTTCCATCTGTAGAAACAATACTGCCTCGACGGTGCAAGGGTCATTTGCATGAAAGTAGGGTATTTTTGGTCTAGCTGTTTCTCTGCTGCCCCCCCCCCCACCACTGTTCCTCACCTGAAGGCAGAATTTTCTGGGTTTGGTCTCAGTGCGATGACACTCAGGAATGAGTGCTGGCAGGGATGGGCCCATAACTATTGCCATAGGAACTAAACGCGACATTACAACCCGGGGATCCTGACTTAATGTCTAGGCTTTTCTACGGATTCGCAGAAGGCCAGAAGGGACCATTAGATCATCTCGTCTGGCCTCTGGCACAACATTTCACCCAGCTGAGCCCAATAACCACAGTTGCCAACTTTCACGCGGTAAATAAGCACCCTGACTTTCACAATAAGCCAAAAATTAAGCTAATCCTCTTTGAAAACAAGCCAATCCCTAAGAACCCCAACACTCTGTGACTAGATCCCCCCGGCGTGCAGTCTGGGACTGTGGTGGGCCTGCTGTGCACCTGACTCTCTCGCCACCTTGCCCCTGCTTACCCCCTTTGCCCCTGCTTGCTGGGAGCCGATCAAAAAAAAAAAAGAGCAACAAGCTACAACAAGCAACAAGATACAAGCCAAACAAGCAACAAGTTACAAGCCAAAAACTAGCCAACAAGCAACTCACAAGCCAATTAAGCTGAAAACAAGCCCACTTTCTGCGTTTTTTCCGCAGGTTTGGCATGTCTGCCAATAATCTGTGTTTGACGAACGCATATCTTGTGTTTGGCTGAAGCCCAGCGTCCAGAAGGGCAGCCAATCTTGAGCTGAAGACAACAAGAGATGGCGAATCCACCCAGGGGTACTGGAAGGAGGGGTGGGGCGCAGGGGGCCATGGCCCTCCCACTTTTTACCATCCATAAGGGCAAGCGACGGGGCAGGGGGAGGTAGGAGAAGAGTGAGTGAGGGGTGGGGTCTTGGGGTAAGAGGCATCATGGGAGCAGGGCCTCAGGGAGAAAGGGCATCGTGGGGGCGGGGTCTCAGGGGGGTAGCACGGGGGTGGGGCCACAGTTTGGTGTTGGTGGCCCCCCCATTTTTAGGAAGCTTCCGCCACCCCCGAATCTGCTTCTCCCCTTCCCAGATTGTTCGAGGGACTAATCCCTTTGTGCCAAATGTAGACACCAATTAGGTACAATCTTAACTGGGGTTTGTCTGGGTGCAGCTTCCAGCCACTGGCTCTTGTTCTGTCTTTCTCCGCTAGAGCAAAGAGCCCTTAAGTACTTGCTCGCTTCTCCCCACGGAAGTACTTACACGGTGTAACCAAGTCACCTCTCAAGCTTCTTTTTGACAAACTAACCAGACTGAACTCTCGGACCCTCTCACCATAGGGCATTTTCTCCAATCTTCAGATCATTTTCGTGGCTCTTTTCTGCACCCTCTGTAGTTTTTAATAGCCTTTTAAAAATGCGGACACCAGAACTGGATGCAGCATTCCAGTGTTAGTCTCACCATGGCCCTACCCGAAGGTAAAAATCACTTCCCTACTCACTACTTCCCTGTTTATACAGCCAAGGATCACCGCAGCCCCTTTTTGCCACAGCATTGCACGGGGAGGTCATGTCCCGTGGCTTGTTCTCTATCGCCCCATATCCTTTTCAGAGTCACTGCTATGGCACACATCAGTGCAGAATATAAGCGTATCAATACATTTAGCCTCACAATCCCCCTCTGAAGTAGATGAATAGGTATTATCACCCCCATTTTATAGATGGGGAAACTGAGGCACAGAAAGGTTGAGCCCATGAATTATTCCACGTGGGCGGCCCCTGCATGGAGCCCCATGGGTCTGCTGACATGAAACAACTTGCAGGAATGAAGTTGACATTTTCAGAAGTAGCCATGGATTTGGGGAGCCCCAATTTTGGGGTGCCAAACCTGAGACCCCTGGGGACTGATTTCTACCCAAAATGCCAATTGAAATCAATGGGAGCTGTGGGTGCCCAGCACCCCTGATAAGCCTAGATGTCTCCAGTTGGGCACCCTACCATTGAAGCACCCCAAAAGGGGGGCAACTTTTGAAAACGGAGGCCTAAGGGACTTGCCCAAGGTCATACAGAGACATCGGTAGCAGAGCACAGAATAAACCTAGATCTTCTGGTTCCTGCTGTAGCCCTTTAACCACAAGACTTTCCTCTCCAGGGAGAGGCTCCAAGAAACTCCTAAAATAGGCTGGATCTCTGCCAGATTCGACTCAAGTGCTAACCACTGCTAGAGATGTAGGAACATCTGGGTCACAGACTGTGCTTCTGAGCAACAAGAATTTTGTTTTCATTCAAATATCCCTTGGAGAAGGGAGAAGGAAAATCAGGGAAGTGAAATAGAGACAAATATGCCATCAGGAGAGATCTTGAAACCTGCCAGTTCCCATAGTGTCCTTGTTCGGAGAACCTGTTCCCAGAGCTACAATACATATGTTCCAGGCGCCCTCTAGTGGTCCCAGAACACTAGCTCACAGTTACACTGATTTGCATCTGAATTCCTTCTGAAATCTCGGGACAGAGCCAGGCATTATGCAGAAGATTGTGGCCTGAAGCGAGGGGAGTGGCAGCAGGTCTGTTCTAATCAGAGTTGGATTTCGTCCTGATGTGCATCATTGCCGCAAACTACCCAGAACCCACTGCCTATTATTGCAGTGGTATTTGTAAGGATACACCACTGGTTTTCAGCTCAGTTCAAAGGGCCCGGCCAGCGTATCTCCCAGTATTTTCTAAAATAATATTTCTCTCTCTCTAATAAACACCTGGATGCTTGAAAATGACAGTGGATTTCCTTACTGTGCCTCTCTTAACCCCATCGCTAGTCCACAGGGGCATAGGGCGTTGGCCACTCTTGGATGCCAGGATGTTGGGCTAGATGGACCATTGGTTCTTATGTTCTATTGCTGGAGAGCTGCTGAGCTGAGGGCACTGGTTTCTTAGTGTAGGGTCACTCGGGAGCACGAGACTGAACATGCTGGTTTATTATTGTCAGGCATTGGGCTACGCACACACCAAAGTGGCTCGTTTCAGGCTCCGAGAAGGGGATGTAATTAGGCATGTGCAGAAGGGCAGAGAAATACAAAGGCGTGAAATGCCAACATAGAAGGGGTGAAAGCCTCAAATCTCCTGGTCCTACCCTGAAATCCCCCCCCAACCGGGCTCAGGTGGGACAAGGGAGACTCGTTGATTTCCAGACACGGCATAGGGTGTCAAACCCCTGCCTGTGCAGAGGCTTACTCTGTTGGTTCCTTTCTCCTTCCTCCGCTCCCCAGGGCCTTTTCTTCAGGGGCGCCAGAAGCTCCCTGGACCCATTTCCTGGGGAGTGATATTCTGACTCTGGATGGAGCCTGGCTGAGCATGGCAGAGAATGAAGGCAGCAAGTCAGAGCCAGGCAGCCTGGTCCAACCAACTGAAGCCGAGAGAATGCGGAGCTAGACCTCAGGAGTTCCTAAGCCAAGCACTGACGGTCTAGATAATACTTACTCCAGCCACGAGTGCAGGTGACTGGACTAGATGACCTCTTGAGGTCCCTTCCAGTCCAATAATTCTATTCCAGTCCCCGGCACTGAGGCAGGACTAAGTAGTATCTAGACCAGTGGTTCTTAACCTGGGGTGCATGCACCCCCTGGGGTTGCAACATGCCAGATTTTTTAGAAGGTAAATCATCGAAAACACAAATTAAGCACAGGCACGTAAGTACAACTACTTTGTTTCATCAAACCAATGTATTTATTAACATTATACATTTTTTAACAATTACTGTAATATACAAACAAAAAATATATCTAGGTTTAAGGGGTGCGAGAACATATTTTGAGAACCAAAGGGGTGCAGGCTGCAGTAAAGGTTAAGAACCACTGATCTAGACCATCCCTGACAGATGTTTGTCTTAAAAACCTCCATTGATGGAGATTCCACAACCTCCCTAGATAATTTGTCCCAGTGCTTAACTGCCCTGACAGTTCAGAAGCTTTTCTTAATGACCAGCCTAGGCAAAACTTTCTTGTAGATCCCCAACAATCAACACTAGCCCCTTGGCTGCAGCTTCCCTTAGTGTCTATTTTAGGGTCACGTGTGGGAAGAGATTAATTGAAAGTCAGCGAATGGACATTTTTATACATCTCCACGCAAAGCACTTACTCTGCTCACGTCTTTCTCCTTCCTCCTCTTCTTCAAGGGCTCTGGTGTCTCCTCAGAAATGTTTCCCAGTGCGGGAGGTTCTGACCCCAGAGCAAGACCAGCTGGGCTCTGCCGAGCCTGAAGAAAGCAGGTTATTTCTCTTTAAGGCACCACGTCTCTCCTATGTCACATACAGTCCATGAGGTAAAAGTCTTATTACTCCCTCTCACACTCACCCTTTCCCTTTATCAGATATTCAATAGCAATATGACGATCAATTAAACACTACACATACAATGATGCACAGCCAAGGTTGCCGACTCCTGAGTGCTCCGTTGTAAATCAGGACACACTGCTGTCAACAAGAGTAGTGTTTAAAAGCAGACCATGGGCAGTCTGAGTAGCTCAGGAGGCTGGTTATGGATAAAGCTGGGTGGGAATTTTTTGAAGAAATGTTTTTTGGTCAGAAAACACCGATTCGTTGAAACCGAAACTTTTCAGGGAACGGTATCGTTTTTGACAAAAATGTCACGGGGAAGGTTTTGCAGGTCCAGGATGGACTTTTTGGCCACAGAGACGCATCAAAAGACCAGAACTGCCAACAAGTTAGGGCATTCAGGTGGGATGTGGGAGAGGCAGGAAGATCAGGGACTTAAACTTGCGCTATCTACACTGCAGGTGAGGGCCCAGCCGCTATCCTATTGCAGGCGGAATGACCCAAAGCCCATCTTTAAAGTCATGTTAGAAAGGTATGCGAATGGTAAAGGGGGCCATTCCTAGTAGATAGGTTAGAACTTTGAAATGCAAACCTATATTGTTAGAAGTGTCATCACTGGTTCTCCACTTGTAAGGTAACTCCCTTCTCTTCATGTGCCAGTATATTTATGCCTGTATCTGTAATTTTCACTCCATGCATCTGAAGAAGTGGGTTTTTTACCCACGAAAGCTTATGCCCAAATAAATCGGTTCGTCTTTAAGGTGCCACCGGACTCCTCGTTGTTTTTGTGGATACAGACTAACAGGGCTACTCCCTGATACTGACAAAGAGTCCTGTGGCACCTTCTAGACTAACAGACGTATTGGAGCAGAAGCTCCTCTGATACTTGACACTAATTGTATGTATCTTAGACGCTAGCCATTTAAACAGACAATTCCTGTCTGTCACTATAACTATTAATTCAGAGATCAAAAGGGAATATTAACATTTAGATGAATCTTGGGTGAAGTAATGTCATTGTCTATATGTCTCTTGGAAGTTTGTGATAGACTGCCTAATGGATAAATTGCCCTATGTTCATTTGTGTAACTAATTACTGGTGGTGTTTAGAAAGCAAAAGGTTACATCAAAAGCCTCTTGTTTACCCAGCACTGCATGGGCAAGTGAATGCTAGGACACTGTGGGTCCTGATTCTGTCATCTCAGATCTGCTTGAGGCTTCATACAAGGGAAGCGTAAGCCATAAGGACTGAGATCCCTGTTCTAAGCTGGAACACCCTGCAATGATATTGGACATTGGACTATAACCTATGAACTATTTCTGAAAGAACTTTTTGCAACTACAAAACTCACCATCTCTGCTATGAATCTGAACCTTAAGTACTGAACTCATGTCTGTATATATATATTGATCTTTTAACCATACTCTCTCTCTTTTCTTTTTTAATTAATTTTTAGTTTAGTTAATAAGAATTGTCTGTAGCGTGTATTTGGG